TAAGCTCACTTGAGCACTAGAGGAATGGAATGGTAGCATCTGGGTTCTTTGAGCTGTTTTCAAAATGTTTATTGAAAGTAAGAGCCTCGCCTAAGTGGAATAGGTGCAATGAGAGTCACCAGAGAGTCTCCTAAGCTCAAAAAAGATGTCTATGGTTTATAACTTGGCCCAATGAATAATTGTATTCTTTTTTTTTTAATATATTTTATTGGTTTTTTACAGAGAGGAAGGGAGAGAGATAGAGAGTTAGAAACATCGATGAGAGAGAAACATTGATCAGCTGCCTTCCGCACATCTCCTACTGGGGATGTACCCACAACCCAGGTACATGCCCTTGACCAGAATCAAGCCTGGGACCCTTCAGTCCGCAAGCCGACGCTCTATCCACTGAGCCAAACTGGTTTCAGGAAGCATAATTGTATTCTTTATCAAAATCAAATGCTTCTTTTTGACTATTATGAATAATGTTACTATGAACATTTGTTTACAAGTTGTTGTGTGGAATATGTTTTTATTTCTTTTGGGTATATAATTTATAGTGGAATTGCTGGATCATATGCTAACTGCAGGTTGTCCCCAAAAATATATACACACTTAAACAGCTAGTAGCTGTTAAATGAAAATGAAATGTATTTTAATAAAGACTGCCTTTATAATTATTCAAAGTGTTTATATACATTTTTTGGGACACCCTATGTATTTTTAACTATTGGAGGAATTACCACACTGTTTTTAAAAGCAGCTGTACCATTTTACATTCCCACCATCAGTGTGTGAAGAGTCCAATTTCTCCATATCTTCATCAATACTGATTATTATCTGTCTTTTTAAATGATATCCATTCTAGTCGATATGAAGTTGTATCTCACTGTGGTTTCAATTTGAATCACTCTAATGACAAATGATGTTGAGAATCCTTTCATTTGCTTATTTATCATTTATATGTCTTCTTTGGGTAAATGTCTTTTCAAATGTTTTGGCCATTTTTAAATTGGTTTATCTTTTTTAAAAAGGTTTTTTAAATTGATTTTTTAGAGAGAGAGGAAGGGAAAGGGACAGAGAGATAGAAACATTAATGAGACAGAAACTATTGATCAGCTGCCTCCTGCGTGCCCCAACTGGGGATCGACCCTGCAACCCCAGCATGTTCCCTGACCAGGAATCAAACCTGTGACCTCTTAGTTCCTGGGTCAATGCTCAACTGCTGAGCCAACAAGCTCAGCAAATTAGTTATTTTTTTATTGTTGAGTTGTAATTGTTCTTTGTGGGTTGTCTTTTTATTTTCTTTGTGGTGTTCTTTGAAGTACAATAAATTTTAAGTTTTATGAAGACCAATTTAACTTTATTTTTCTATCTCTTGGTTTTTGGTGTCACATCTAAGAAACCATCGTCATACCTGAGGTCATAAAAAGTTAGACCTAAGCTTTCTTCTTATAGTTTTTACTAGAGGCCCGGTGCATGAAATTTGTGCACCGGTAGGGTCCCTAGGCCTGGCTAGCAATCAGGGCCTTCCACCTGCTGGTCCAGGCCTCCCTTCATTCCATGCCAACCCCTGGTGGTCAGCACACATCATAGCGAGCAATAGAACTCCCAGTCTCTCCTGGTCAAACTCCTGTGGGGACACTTTGCATATTAGTCATATGACTTTTATCTCTGTGATCCATTTTCAGTTGAGTTTTATATGTGTTGTGAGGTAGGAATCCAATTTTATTCTTTTGAATGTGGATATCCAATAGTTCCAGAATGTCCAACTGATGATTCCATTTGTATGACATTTTGAAAAGGGGATATTATAGCGATGGAAAATGGAACCGTAGTTGACAGGGGTTGGGAAAAGTTTGATCACAAAGGGGCAACATAAGGGAATTTTGGTGGGTGATGGAATGGTTTTGTGTCCTGATTGTGGTAGTGGTTACATCCGTCCATGCCGGGTTAAAAATTCCTAGAGTGTGTGTGTGTGTGTGTGTGTGTATCAAGGCTACACCCACATGTCACGCCCACGCGTCACGCCCACCAGCCTATAAGGAGCAAATATGCAAACTAGCCCAACTAAGATGGCAGTGGCCACGGAGCTGGAGGGAGCAGGAGGCTTGGGTTGCCCCCGGGAATGGAGGAAGCAAACTTCCTGCCTGCACTGCCGGCCCTGACCTCCACTCAAGGCTACAAAGTTTCAATTATAGAAGGTAAATAAATCCCAGAATTAAAAAAAAAGAAAAAAAGGAGAGGCTGGGAGCGTCTGTCGCTGGGGGGGTTGGCCAGCCCGGAAA